AGGCATATACATACCTTAAATATGTAATTTTAGTATTTTCTAAGAGGACCTCAAAATGTGTATTTCCGTTGAAAATTCAGATTCGTAATTTTCACTATCGCAATACTTTCTCTTACAACATATTTCATATATAGGTAAGTAATAGTAAAAAATAAATCAAGGTACTAATAAGCTCAATAATAAAACATGTTTTCATTTCACTCTATTTCACAATCCCTTAAAATTTCATCAAAATCAGGATAATAGAAAATGAGTTGTTAATTCGATTTCAGCCAGACTAATAAACATGCAGATACAGAACCAGATTTATTTCTTGATGCCGGAAACGTAAAACGCAAGTAAACAATTCCAATATTGAGGACATTTTTTTTTCTTTCAAGAATGCAATAAAAGTCTCCCTACCTTAAGTAGTGAGGAAGGAAAACAATATTACTTACCTAAAATATGTTTTCTTATGATAGTTGAAGCCGTGGATCGAATCAGGATTCTGAAGGCTCCAGTGGTACAAAATTGATTTGGTGTTCAGAAATTAAGCTTTTACATCATATGTTGGTATAATTTAATCAAAAATATTTTGTAGAAAACATAAAATAATTAATGAAAAAAAAAACTTTCCATTTCAAATTATTTTATAATATGTAGAAAAAGAAGCAGTGGTCATCCTATTATTACTAAAAATATTTAGAATCCTGAATCTTCTCCTTTGTTTTAATATTACAGCCAGAGGACTCTCTTACAAAAACAAAATATTACAGCCAATTTGATAGGAAAAACATCAACACCCTAATGTAAATATAAAAGAACGAATCATACTCTACTCTAAAACAGTATCTATTTTATTTTAATGTAAATAATATCGGTTTTTTCCCCATAGTATTTATTTTATACCAATAAATTTTATACGCTTTAATTGTAATATATTGAGAAAGAATATTTAAAGATATTATGGTACTGCATCAATGTATGTTAAATTTTTTTTTTATGTTCTCCTATATTTTCTCAAACACAACATTTATTTGTGTTTGAGCTCGGTTATAGTTTCATTTGGAATAAACCCTAAAAGAGCCAAAACAAAAAAAAAAAAAATTTCTGCTTAGGTCTTTTTATCTAAATGAGATGACCGTTCTTATGAATAATTCGCATGATAAAAATTTCTTAGTCTCCAAATGCTAGATTTAGATAGATATGCGAGTTTACGATACGAGTTTAGTTAGATATTTCTTACATTTAAAAAATCATAAATTATATGTAATGAACACAATAAGGAAGTGGTTTTATGGAAAAGGATAGGTCGAATTAAAATGATAAAAAGAATATTTCAATAGCAATGACGCAGATGGAAGAGAAACTCTGGGATCTTCTGGAGTCCTGCTTTCCCTTCCAAGGCAATTTTTACTGGATAATTTTATCTCAGTCAAAATCGGCCATTTTTTTTTTTTTTTTTTTTTTTTTTTTTTTTTTTTTTTTTTTTTGTGATTCCGAGCTTAGCCTATTTCATTCTTCGAGAAGGTATCTTTTAAAGTCTGCTTTGCTAAAAATTCATACTTTCTAATTTCTACATCCAATTTTGCCTGCAGGTGTTTTATCCTTAGGTTTGGGTAGAGGTAGTACCTTTAATAGGATTGACCTAGCCTATGGTCCTATGGTCCTCCTCTAATGGGAGAGGCACCAGGCGAGAGATTTGTGTACCTTGGTGTAGATCTGTAAGAAGCTCGTTCCCTAGACCGTCGTGCGTGGTGAAGAACCACATTTTGCCAGAGGTGACCCTACTCGGCGGATCTAGACCGGGAGGTCGATAAATATCCCTGGTTAAGGCAGCAGGAGCACCAAAACTATCATGGATAGTCGGCTTGGTCTATGTTTAGGCATCATCAGGCGGAGCTGAAGACCTGAAGAATGGATGATGACTTTTAAGGGGCAGATGGAGCTCCAAGTCGTGGTGAAGGCAATCCATCTAGGGTTCCCTGTTCCCGATATAAAGAGGAACCTGTTGTTCAAAGATAAATGGGCATTTGGGATTTGGGCCAATCACCCACCCGAAGTATAACTGATTCAAAGACGATCAAATTGCCTCGGAAAAGGACAGTCTATTGGTAACAGACACGGCGTGGATAAGGAAGTTCGACTAGGTATATGGAACATCAAGACTATTTCTGGTAGAGAGATCGAACTTGTTGGCGAAATCGATAAGTACAAAGTGGACATTATAGGCCTCAGTGAAACTATGAAGAAGGGAAATGGCGTCACCCTGGTTAATGATTTTACAATGATAACTCTAGTGGGAATAAGAGAGAGAGAGGGCTAAATATGGAGTGGCATTTGCTATGGAGGGTGAACAGTTTGACAGGATCGAAAGCTGGGAAGCTGTGTCACTACACATCATATTAGCCAACACCCAACTCGCTCTTGGCAAAACTTCAATCATCCAGGTTTATGCTCCTACTGAAGACTCACCGACTGCTGACAAAGATGATTTTATGAAGACCTGCAGAGATCTGTTGACAAAGGCCGCGTTGAGAACAGTTGTTATCAATGGAGATTTTAATGCCAGGCCAGCCTAGGACAACATGGAGTAATAGGTCTATAGGGTGGTGAAGAAGTTAAAAATGATAATGGCCAGAGATTGATTTAATTCTGCATATAAAATTCTCCATATGCTTATTGGGAATTCTCATTTCAACAAGTTAATCCATAAAATTACTTTTGAAGCGGAAGGAAGACAGTCCAAAAGCATAATACATTACATTATCTATGACAAAGAAATACGTAGATGATTCATAGATGTAAAAGCAATTACAGGGGCAGAGTTAGCATCGATCATCGCCTGGTTGTTTCCGATACCAAAATTATTAAGCCACAGAAAAGACACTCCAAAGCATATGAACGAATTGTGGCCGAAAAGTTCAGAGATCCGGAAGTGATTAAAACATGCTGAAAGGTGCTACTGACAAATATACAAAAAGGCAATTATGGCATGACTCTTGATGACCTATGGCTTCATATCAAAACAATCATCCTTTCTAGAGCAAAAGAGGCATGTGGTATTAAGAAAATAATGGCTCAGACCAAAATCACTAGATGGTAGAATGATCAAGTGAAAAAAGAAGTAAAAGATAAGAAAGAAGAATGGAGTCAATAAAAGCAGAATAAATCCCAAGCTTATGGGGATGAATACGTCAGATTGAGAAATATGGCCAAGCAAACTGTCAGCGAATCCAAGACACGATCTTAGGAGAAATTTGGAAAAGAGATCAAGTCAACTAGGAAGAAAATCAAAGAAAATTCTGTAGTAATGTAAATGGACAAAGAGAGAAGAAAGGAGAAAAAGTACGAAACGTCCAAGACAATAACGGTAATTTGGTTTCAAATGAAAAATAAATTCTCAAAGCATGGCAAAAGCACTACTAGAGTACCTTTTCTCTCCAGAAATACAGACAATATCATCGACATGATGGCCGTAGAAGATCCGGAATTCGTGAAAACCAGGTGGAGAATAGTGAGAAGGACGTTATTGGCTAGATTGCATTGGCTATGAAGAAAATAAAATTAACCAAAGCAGCAGGCAGGGATAATATTATGCCAGAATTCATAAAATGTGAAGGAGAAGAAATGGTCAAGTGCCTCCAGAATCTCTTTCAAAAGATCTGGTCAAAAGAAAACACCTCAACACTGGGAAAATAATATTGTGAATCCGATTTTCAAGAAAGGCAAACAGACAAAATATGCCTATTCTCTGTAAATTTATAAATTATATACAAGAATATTGGAACAGAGCCTCAGGCGATTGGTGGAGCATGGTCTGGAAAAGGAGCAGGCTTTAGACTTTAGGGAGGAAACCCAGGATCATATTTTTTCATTAAGAATGGTTGTTGAGGAAACATGGAATAGAGAAAGAGGGCTATTTTTGGCATTCCTGGACTTGATGGCTTCATTTGATTCGACTCCTCGCCAAGAGATTTGGAAAGCTCTAAAAGAAAAACGGGTACCATCCAATCTCATCAGCGCTATCAAATTGATATACCAGGATCCCAAGTAGTGTTGCCCGAAATCAGTCGTGGTCTTGCACTTTGCAAGACCAAGACCAACGCCGCCTAACTGTTGCAAGACCAAAAACAGGACTGATAAAAAAAATCGAGTTTTAAAATAAAAATTAAGGCAAAATATTCCTGATTCTTGACAATCTTAGTTAATAATTGGTATAACCAGTATACTTTTGCATTTAACTCCTCTAATTTTTCATTCGGGCTTAGTTAGATTTCTCCTATCTAAAAAACAGGGTATTAGAAATTGAACTATTAATTTATTCAATTATTTCTAACAATATCGAGGTGTATCATTTTGACAGTGAGCAGTGTGTGTATATATATTATGAATGAATAATTGTAGACTTATAACCTCAATGGAGCAGATTGAATTATTATTTTAAAAAATTTTAAAAAATTTGAAAAAAAAATATAAAGACTCAAAACCTTAGATGACCAGGTAATATTAATTAAAACTAAACACTTTATTTATAATATATATATATATATATATATATATATATATATATATATATATATATATTATAAATAATAATATATTACAGCCGGACTCGAACCTAGGACCTGGAACATAGGAGCACAGTGGATTAATCACTGGACGGAGTAAGATTTAAAAAAAACATTATAAATATGAACTTTTATTACTCCTTTTCGAAGATACTTGGTTGAAATAATTTTATATTATTAAATTTTAACCATTAATTTATTATTAAACTGTTATTAATTTTATCTTATCTATTTCTATTTTTACGAATAACCACAAATTACAACAATCGATAATAACTGCCTTCAAGTTTGTTTATTTTTAACTAAAGTCAATAAATCTCAAACTGCGTCTACTTTTAGTTTTCCGTTTAATGGCTTTCGAATTATGTATTAGATAGCCTCAGAAAAGCAACAATGAAGCGAAATATCTTCTTTAAAGGTTAAATGTTTCTTGTAAGCAAATAAAAATTTATGAAGAATTCAACTCCTAAAGAAAAATAGAACATAGCAAAGTTTGTATGAAACTATCCTCCTTTATATGCCTTTAATACACATAACACAACACATAACTCTACTAAATTACCACTATATTAGACTGCGAGTCTCCCGATACTAGGATCGGTTCAGGGCTGATGTAATATATATATTACCTAAATATATATTACATAAATACTATAAATAATAACATATTAGAGCCGAACTCGAAACTAGGACAGTGTTAATAGTAGTACAGTGAATTAATCACTGAAAGAAATAGACATTAAAAAAAAAAAAAAATTATCCATAAATATGAACCTTTATTACTCCTTTTCGAAGATACTTATCATTATTCCATGTCCCCGGCACTCTCTTCATTCATGAATATCTACTTTCTTCATTTCTTCTTTAAGTTTTCCTCGGCTAGCTTCAGATCCCCATCTATCTGTTTTAACATAACGTCTGCCTTCATCTTAGGATACTGTTTCACTTGGTTAAATACTTGTTGCATATCCTTGAGTTCCTTTATGACGTTCGTTAGTTGCTCCTTAGTCATAGCAGCAAAGTCGCAGTATAAGTTTTTACCATTTAAAGAGAGTCCGTTAGTTGCTGAAAATCTGAGTGGATGATTCACTAATCTAAACATTTTGACTTGAAATAAATTTTGATATGTAATATTTAAATTTGTTTGTTCCGTTTGATGTTATGTCTTGTAACCATATGAAATGATGTGATTTTGTAAATGATTATTTAGTTATTAACAGCTGTTATTGTTAACAAGACCATATGGTGTCCTGCTGTGTCTCTGTCTACAACAAAATTATTTAGAAATGGCATTGATTAATCATTTAATGGTTGGGACGCTGGATAAATAAAAATATTTATATGGTGTGATGTTATTTTATCTTTCATTTTTTTATTATTTTTTCCATCACTGTTTTATGTAGCTATAACTAGATGGATCAGGTAATTTGTTTTTATCTCGAATGTTCCAAAAATTAAATTACTGTCTGTCCATCAGCCCAAAATGTTATTATATATATAACTTTTATTGAATGATGTTTTTCTCTTATTAAAACTTATTTAACTACGGATCTATAGAAATATATCATTGTTTTTGACAAAGTTGGTAAAAAATTGTTTGTTGACTTCATCGTCTTTTTCAACTATACTCTGTAACCAAATTGTTGGTATTAATATGAAGCAAAATTTAATATTCTTTAATTTCTTACAAAGTAACTTTTTATGCTTGGATTTACCTTTCACGGGTTACATATGAACAAAAATAAAACTAAGTAGTCTGTGTTGGCATTATCTTACATGGTTTGCCTATATTATAATATCCATTTATTGATTGATTATTGATTTATAATATTTAAATTTGTGTCTTGTGTATTAATATGAATCAAATATTTTTTTATTATTATTAATTGCTATTTATGAGTGTATCTGGTTAAAGTGCTCTCATTTAATCTTCACTTGCTTTAGTACGCTTGCTTTAGTACGCTTGACGCGGTTGATGGAGTAGTGCAGGGATCTCCTGGAGTATGCTTGCCCCGCCATAGTTGTACCCCTATGATTTTATCCTGTGTCGCTCTCTCTCTCTGTATACATCAAATTAGTTTAAATGAGGCATTCATGACCAATTTATGGATTAAGGTGCACCATAAATAAATAAATAATGAAAATTATTCCCATGCCATAAATGGAAAAATCCAAACTACTAAACCATCAGTCTCCAAACACAGGTGAATAGCTTACTTGCCAATTCAGGCATCATCGGGGCAAAAAAAACCAAGACTTTCTGTGGGGGGGGGCGGATATTCGTACATCCCGTTTTTTGGTCAAAATGGTTCACTATAATTTTTTTAACTTGAAACAACGGCAGATATGAATTAAAAACTTAATTTGGGTTAATTTTATGTAGTCCTAAAATTGAAAATCTCATAAAACTTTTATAAAATTAATATTTCATTAATTTGTACACAAAAAAAGTATTCGTACACAAGAGCAAATGTTAATGATACGATAATTTATGTTATTAAATGAGTGTTTTAACGTTATAATTATAACCCGTTATTTCGGAAGATTAAAGGATAAAACTATAGGAGAAATTGATAGTTTAGATCAATACTAAAAAATATTTCTTCGGCAATGGGCCGTAGATGACATAAATCATTTTCAACAGGGTTTGAGTTTGCGGTATATTGGAAAAAAGTTGAGACTACCTCATACGACAGTGATATACATTATAAAAAAATTAAATCCGAATCAGTGAACAATAAATCCCGCCCAGAAAGAAAACTCTTGTTGACTTTTCGAAAATGGTATGTGTTTGAAGTGGTAAAAAATCCCAAATTAAGTGCTCGAGAGCAATCGGCTAACATCGCGTTAGATTATGGGAAATCTATAATACTCCAAACCATGAGGAATCATCTACATGAAACTTCCTATAGAGGTAGGAGCGGTAAGTAAAATACTTAAATGCTTGCCCGAAAACATGTAAATAAACCCAACACGTTTTGGAAAAATGTGTTATTTTCGGATGAAAGCATATATATATATACCTTCGAGATGTTTCTTTTGAATTAATTAATTTATTACTTTATATACTTTAACTCGTTTTGTACTATTATATTTAAGTTATGAATAATTGTTTTGTTTTTTTTCTTTTCTTCCTTGTATTTCTGCTAATCAGCCGTTCAATGTAATCTTCTTTAGCTGTGTTGATAGAACCTTCCCTTTGCTTCAGTATGTATTTGGATGGCTTCGTGAGATGACTACAGCAATATATTTTTTTCTCGTTTATTAATTTCCTTTTGTGTAACTTTTAATAATGTGATTAATTATTTAAAATAAACCATGTTAAAGGTACTTCAAAGGAAGACGTATAAGAAAATAGGGCATTTAAGCACTGTAAAGTGGCATAAATGAGGATATGACCTAAATGATATTAATGACCACTTCATTATACTATGATACACCGAGTTTAATCAAAACCGTTAGAGCCGTTTTAGAGAATATTGTAAAAATGCGTTTCAGCGTTGATATTCGGTTAGCCGATTTTAAGGAAAAAGTTGTTGTCACATCTAAGGTATATAACTATCCTAAATACGTAATATCAGTTTCTTATGACTTTTCGATTTCGAGCTAGAGTGTTCACATACACAGACACACAGACCATTTTTCGGGACTTGGTTATTTGGACTCAGGTTACCTCAAAACGTGTATTTCTGTTGAAAACTCAGATTCGAAAATTTTCACGATGGTAATACTTTCCCTTACTATATATTACAGATATATGTAAGTGAAAGTAAGAAATAGGACTAATCAATGGTTTTTAATGAAACCGAACTTAGTATAGTTTACCTTCACTATAAACGGTTTTAATATTTTATTAGAACTCTTGCCTAGAAAAAAAATGATTAAGAAGGAATTTAGACCTGCGTTTGGAATATATTATTGGACAAAGAAAATATTTTTCTTTTGATTTGTATTGGTGCTTATTCGGAAATAGCTGCTATTTACGTTTTTTCGAAATATTAATTAAATTTACAATAAAATTTTAAATGCAAATATGATCTGTGTTGAAGGGGCTCTAGAAAAACTATTAAATAAAATATTGTTTTAACTTAAAATTCTCTGAATCTTTGTTGAAAATACTGTTCAGATTTGAATAAATGTTCTTTAATTAAGTAGACAAATAGTATGTATACATATAGTTAAAAAAATGTTTATTAGAGAGCTACTAATGGGTTAATTCTCTACAAGTCTGTTCACATTTACTAGATGTATATTTATTTTTATACAGATGTACATTTCATAATTAATTTAAATAAAAAGAAGATTGATTCAACAAAATCAAATTATGGAAAAAACAGAAAGGTATGCGTGACTGGAATCTGTTTTAATATTCTATTAAGAGTCTTGCCTAGGTATAAATATTTAAATACATAAAATAATACGGATTTTAAAAATTATATAAACAACTTTTATTTCTAGACTATTGAAATCGTTTTTTTAACTCTTAGATTAGGATTTTTTCTAAACCTTGCCTTGTATATCGCTACTGTTAACGAAAAATGTCGTAGCAGCCAATTAGGAAGAGAGCCAATTACCAATTAAAATTTCACTTCTTAATAATTATCATTTCTGTAATACTACAATAAAATAATAATTTTAAAATAAAAGTAATTATTATTTTGAACATAGTTCTCATCACCACTACATTAAATATAAGAATACATTTTTAAAAATAAATATTTATGGACGAATCAGAAGTATTATCTTCAACCAAAATAGTTGTATTTTTTAAATAAAAATAAATTTAAATGTAGTCTGGTTATTCAATGTTTGACTCTATATTTTCTATCCTTTTTAATTCTTCCTCAGCAGACTGTATTTCAGCTTCCATTTGTTTCGCGATAATTTTTCCCATGCCCTCAGGAATATTTTTGAAGTATCCTGATTCGTGCTTTGCTTTCGTATTCTTTAACACCTCCAGCATTTTCTCTATTTCTTCCTTTGGTTTTCCAGCAAATTTGCAATAAAAGTTTCTGTTATCAAAAGATAGTCCGCTTGGTTTAGGGCGAAATTTGAGTGCAATGTTCAAAAATGAAAACCTTTTCATTATAAATAGGATTTGAATTTATTACATGTACATTGATTTCTTGTTTTCTTGTTGTGTTCTGTAATCATATGGAATATCAAGATCATTTATAATTGAATGTTATTTTATATACACGTGTTTTAAAATAAAAAATATCTTTTAATAACAAAAGCTTTACTGCCACCTTGCAGGAAAATCCCGAATAAAAAAGCTGTTTGAGATACTAAACGGGGTATTTCGCTGGTAATGCCCACCATGCATTGCCGCATTGCCATAGAGTGTGTGTATGTGAACACTCTAGCTCAAAATCGAAAAGTCAAACGAAACTGATATTACATATAAGATAGATGTATGCCTTAGATATCCTGGCAACTTTTTCCTTAAAATCGGCTAACCGAAAGTGCCACTTTATATCAACGCTGAAACACATTTTTACAATTTTCTCAAAAAACGGCTAAAACGATTTTGATTAAACTCGGTGTATCATTGTATAATTAAGTGGTCTTTAATATCATTTAGGTCTTTAATATCATCCCCGTTGTTGTCACTTTACAGGGCTTAAATGCCCAATGTTTATATGCGTCTTCCTCTAAAGTATATAATGTTTGGAAACTTATAATATTTAGCGTAAATCACATGTTTTCAAGGAAATTAAATTATTTAATTTATTGCTAAAAATTCATGATTTTATTGAGTATTGCAAAAATCTGTCACTTGGACATTAGTTAAGTGAGGTAGAATAACATTCACATTATATAAACAAAAAATATATAAAATAAATAGAAGGGAAATAACCATAAATAATAATCAAATAATTTTATTTACATAAAATAAATAAAATAAAATAACTTTAAAATAAGAAAATTCAGACAAAGCAAAAACACATGCATACAATATTTACAATCAGGCGAGGGATCTCGGAGGCAGGTATTTATCTCTAGATTACCTGAAAATCCATAACTGTCCTTAAACAACTCCTAAGATTCCGTGATTGTATTCCTCTAAAACCCATACAGTTCC